AACACATGGATAAATAAGTAAGATAATTTGCATGGTCAAGTTGCTGTTGTTTGGTTTTTTAAATAACACTGACTATTACTTCCTCAGAAGTTCTGCATAAAAGAGAAACTATATCAGAGCATGTTTCCAGCAATAAGCCTTAAAAAATAATGTGCACATACTTTAGTTAATCATACTAGATGCAAAAACTGCTTTAACTGCTTGAAAAAATAATCATCTCTGTCAATATGAGGTATATTTCATGTTAAAGTTACTCAGTCTTTATTCCTATTCTCTGCTAGTAAACGAATGGTCGCGGTGATAACTACATTTGCTATATTCAGAGCTAACGACAATATTGTCATTTTACTCAACACTGCTACGGTTAGGTGCTGACTCTGGCGTTGCTCATAGACAACATAATGCCTGTCGGAGCCGCTAGCCAACTACCACACTGGTTCTAAGAGCAATTTCTGAATACTCTAATACATAAATAAAGTAAATAGATAAACACATGAATAAAGTAATACATAAAAATACTACCAAAACACATTAACTCTAATGGAGTATGGCACGAAATCCAAGAACTAATAATAAAATTAAGAGTAGGATATGTTAGCAAGACTGTTACATTAAGGTTAGCTAGGTATAGTTAAGCAGTAATTAACTTAAACTCTAAACTCCTACATAACTCCTATATTTTATATAAATTCACATTCTTCCAGAAACCCGGCATATTTTCAGTACATTAAGATAAACTGGTAAATGATGCTTACTGTAAGGTCTGACAACATACTAGGCGACGTAACCTCCATCTTTGTCTCCTTTGTCTCAGTGGCGCGAAAGATAGCGCCCCCTTCCCGCCGCCGGTATGTCATGTTGCTGGGCAGAATTTGTTTCAATTTTAAGCATGTGTGTTCTTACTCATTTCATTTTCTACTTTTGCTTCAATTATATTCACATGTTACGGTCAAAATTAAGCCTGTTCTTTGTGGATACTTATGCTTATCCGGTTGTTCAGTCTGACGTCACTAGCCGTGTCTGGGTCTAAACTCCGCTGCAGGTCCATATATCAAACGATCACTATGGGATTACTGAGAGTTGAAAAACTGTCTAAAGTCTTTCATCTTTAATAAAATGATCAGCGTTCTGCTCTACCAGGTGTAACAATTGAGTTTAACATCCAGGCATCCATGAAAACGGAATTTATGACATTTAACGGAGTTAGAAGTTAGCAGGGAGTTAGCTCGCTAGCTTCTATCTGAATACAATATAGCATGTCCTGACTGCGGGGTTTTGGAAACAAATTAAAACGTACAGCTCTGCTATCACTTCCAGCATAAATGAAGACAGAAAACTAAACAGCAGTGACGTTTGTAGGGTTACTGAAGTTGGGCTAGCTGGTATATAATGATGTGCTACGTGACCGCTAGCGACACAGCTATGTTAGCATAATATAAACAAGCTAACTTTTTTTCCACTCGATAAAAGTTAATGTGAGTGTTCTCGGTGGTCAGGAACAAATGTAATCGCATGGCAGGATGCTGTAAAAGGACCAAACTTCAGCCAGGAGAACAACTGAGATAATCCATCCACAATACGAGGTTAGTCATTTATATACTGCTGCATGGGCTGGGCTGTAGTTACATCGTAAGGTTTTAAAAACTGAGCTTAAATAAATGATTAGCGGTAATAAAAGCCGAGGGAGGTCAACAGTGGTCGCTGACTGTTTTAGGAGCTTTTTGAGATCAAATAGAAGAAAATACATAACATTAAACATGTTAACAACACAAAAGCCATATTAAACGCAGACTACTTTAGACCCGGAAGTAGGATTCGTCGCGTCATCACTGAACAACCGGATTGTATAGCCATGGCCATTAATTGGTATGCCATACATATTGAGAAATAAAAAATTAATCCTCTTTCAGAATTTTAGTACACCATACACACCTTGGTCCACATTACATTATAAAATGTTTTATTTGTTGAAAGTAATGAGGAAAGGATTAAGGAAAACAAACAATAACTAAACATTTTATTTATTCAGTTAATATAGTTATAATACATTGTTAATCTACAATTTATTTCACTAAACACAGGGCTAGCATCAAATTACTGAGCTGCTAATTTTAGGTCCTGTTGTTAGATTCTGAAAATAACACACAAAATGTGTTAAACTGTGCAACACATCAAGTGTGTTAAGCGTTTTACACATTTTTTCAATGTTTACACATTTTCTTACACATGTTATGTTAAAATTTACACAAAATGTGTTAATAGTGTAACAACACATTTTTTGTGTCATTTTTTAACACATCCTTTCTAAGAGTGTAAATAACTCCCTCTCCCCCCCCCCATACACACTCAACGTCTTTCACGCACAGCCAAAACTTGTCTCTTAAAAAACAGTAACATTATAACGGAGATGTTGGAGAACAAATGGGAAGTTACCCAGCAGCAGGGGCGGGGTTACTGGCCCCTATAAAGAGGAGACCGGGGCTCTTCTCTTTCTAACTGTCTCTGAGTGGCTCTGCTGTCTGTGCTTACGGCTCTACATCCTGGGGTTTGCTTTGCTTGCTTTATTATGTGTTGTCTTGCTGTTATGTGTATCTACTTTCTTGTTTTTCATATGATTCAGTGCATTAAACTCAGTTCCAAGAATTCTAGTCTGTTCCTGAGCATCTTTTCCACTAACAGAAGTCAAAACGTTGTGGTTTTTCAGTCCTGTTTGATCAGGCCTGCTCCTTGACTGGCTCCACACAGGGATTTGCGCCCTGGCACTTCTTATTTATCCAGGACACAAATATGTGTGAGTGCAAACTTTTTATGAGGTGTGTCAAATGAGCCAGAGACCAGGTTTGTGTTTCACTTAGCTGATTTTAAAACCTCCTCTCAGGCTCACTGCTATATAAAAACAAAGATTACTTTCTGGATTTAACTATCATCATGGTTCATGGAGAAATCTTGTGTTGAGTTCAGGGGTGTTTTAGCCCAAAATGAATTAAAGCACCCTAAAAGATTTCTTACTTTTTTGACAATATTTGGTACAGTATATTGTCTTTTTTGTGTGTGTGATACACTGCAAAAATATAGAAAGCATACAGTACTTGGTTGAGATGTAATATTTTAACAACAAAAGTATAGATACCTGGTGCCCTTAGATGGTTGGTGTATTCCAATCCACCTCTGGCGCTGGTGCCCTACCCTCAATTTTAAATGCATATAGACACTGAGGGTTTTCGGGAGGAGCCGTGCTGCTCTCTGGCTCTACACCCGTTACATCAGTAAGTCTAAGGCCGATTAAAGCCCAACTTAGGCATTCATTAAGTGAATCCACAACTCACAGTTACTTTAACACAGGACACTTTATTAAAGTGGATGAAACAGAAATACACAAAACAACACTGCGGGACAGTCAATCAGTGAACTTGATTATGAATGCAATGCGAAGGGCTTTACAAAATTAACTGTGTACAAAAAGTCAAAAGTGCCTGTCAGCTATGTCATTGTGAACAAAAGACTTAACTCTTCCACTCACTTTTGCTGTTAGGAAATTAATCTGAAGGGTTGCTTGATGGACTCCTAAATTTACATCTCATTTAAAAGAAGATATAAAAGAAAACAGGAGCGGCTAAAACTACCGCCATCTACTGGCCTTTGGCGGAAATGAGGAACAGCATGACTGTGACTGCGGGTGGAGTAGCTCTGGTTGTCCCCATCGCTGTACTGTACACTGAATAAATACACTTGTAGATTTCTCAGAAATAAAATGACATGTGAAGAAGAGCTTATAGTGCTCACCCTGGTGAAGCAAATATTTGGCTTCACATTACAATTCTGACTGTAAAGGACAGGCTTACAAATACAATAAATAAACGGGATTTGTTTTTGTACTTTTAGCCTTTAGTTTCATGTTTAATATTAATAATACATTTTAATTTAGCTTGAAAAGTTATGCTAGTGTAACATAGTTAAATAGATTTGAAGTTAAATCCCACTAAATGGGACATTGGCGCCACCTACTGTTGAAAAAGTCACCCTGCAATATTCACAAAGGGCAGAGGATTCTGGGTAATTCTCAGAATAATGGAGGATTCCTGCGAGGTAAGGGATGCGCAAATGTCGTGTGGAGGAAAAATCATATCGCAGGCTGTTAAAGTAATACAGACCCGATTAATTTTGTTGTGTATACATCATTTGTTGCGGGTCATTTCTCCAGTCTTTATGTTGAACTGAGTGCACGTTTATGTGAGATTTATTTATTGGGAGGAGAGGAAACAAAATGGGAGCATAGTTAGCTAACCCTGTTGTTGCTTTCCCGTTTAGATTTTGTGCTGATTGCCCACGACATAAAAAAGAGAGCATTCTAACCATTGCCTTTTTGTTGTGAATGCAGGTATGTGACTGTGCCACACTGTTTAGAGAATTTACATTGTTTCATGTACAGCTTTAAATATATATTTCTATATTCCTTTCATTTGGGAAATTTAACATGCAGTGTTAATGGTGTTGAAGTTTTTCTATTTTGGTTGTATAAATTTACCACTATACGATCACACTGCGAGTGGAAATGTAATCCTGAGAATAATGGAGGATTCCTGCGATATTTTGTGCTGATTGCCCACGACATTAAAAAGAGAGCATTCTAACCATTGCCTTTTTGTTGTGAATGCAGACCAGAGAAGACACTACACAGAGGTCACACTAGACTCTGGGTAAAACGTTAAGAGGGTGTCTGGTTTTTGTTACTAATGTGGACACTTGGTTTTAGTTTCAATTGATTAATTATGTGAAATAAAAATATGAACTCGACTCGGGCATTGTGGGTGCAATTTGGTGAGAGCCTTCCTTTGGTTAGACTTAATTTGTCATTAAAAAAAAGACACGATTTCCACATAGAGAATAGAAGAGAGGGTGGAGCCACTGAGCTCCGAGCCGCCCGGCTGTTTTCCTTTACGTCCGCTGAGCACACATAAAAAGACTGCTCCGTCGGGTTGAGCTTCATTCGACTTTGCTTGTTCAAAGAAGAAACTGTAACCATGAGTGGACGAGGCAAGGGTGGCAAAGGGCTCGGCAAGGGAGGCGCCAAGCGTCACCGTAAAGTTCTCCGTGATAACATCCAGGGTATCACCAAACCCGCTATCCGTCGTCTGGCTCGCCGTGGCGGAGTGAAGCGTATCTCCGGCCTGATCTACGAGGAGACTCGTGGTGTGCTCAAGGTCTTCCTGGAGAACGTCATCCGTGATGCCGTCACCTACACTGAGCACGCCAAGAGGAAGACTGTGACCGCCATGGATGTGGTGTACGCTCTGAAGAGGCAAGGCCGCACTCTGTACGGCTTTGGCGGTTAAACTCATTCGACCTAATCCATCAAACGGCTCTTTTAAGAGCCACACACTTTCACTTTGAGAGTTTTGTTCCCTTATGACCGACTGACATTGCCTACATATTGTAACTGACTGGGTTACAAGTCAGTTGACTGTTGTGTTATCAGTGTATTGTGTTCATAGTTGGACCACATCCGCAGCATGGTGATTTACCGAGTGTCCTTGAATGTGCAGTAGTCGAGAGGCCGGTTAGTCTGTCAATCAGATCAGCTACCAATGACAGTCTGGAGAGCAGGTGTGTGGTTGGCTGACAGTGTTCGGGGGCGGGGATTAGAGTAGTTTGTGTGTGGCGGAAGAGGGAAGAGTGTCGGGGGTTGTGCTGTTGCTGTAGAGCGCACTTTCCCCGTTGTTTTGGCGTTGGCTACGGCCCACAGTAGCCCGTGTTACTATTCTGAATAAACACCGGTAACCGGAACGCTGGTCGTCTGTCGAGGGACGCTACAAGATTATATTGACTCTCCGTTTTGCTAGAAGATTCAGCTGTAATGCGTGCTTTTCTTCACAACGTTACAATAACTGTCATGACCACAAACTGAACTTCACAGGTTACAGGCCTATTCAATACCACTGTTTATTAATACTCACTGAACAGTCATAGACCAAACAAAAGAAAAATAATAAATTTCACTTATTCATCAGTTTATTTGTAAATGTCTTCCTGCCATAAATCTGCTTGAAACAGAAGTGCTTGCTTAGTATCTTTTTTTTAAATTTATTTATTTTTTTTTAGGTAACTAACCCACCTTTGATCTAGTAAAAGGTGGACATGAGTGGCTGAAACCCAATGAAGCTTCTTAAACCTCTTCCTGATGTGTGCCTGAAATATCATCTTCACCAATCATATCAATATAACAGTTTTGATGTGATCTTCCTTTCTGAAAGGCTTACTCACTCTCACAATCCTGACATAACCTTCATACAAGCAACATTGTCTAACATATGTTTTAGTACGCAGATTTTATGCACTTGAAATGCAACGTCTGTTTAAACTGCAAACAAAGTATCAAAGGCAACTGTAAATGATCTGTGATGAAACGACCCACATCGCAAACAAGAAGTTTTGCCAGGTTGTCTACATTTAGTTGACGTGCGTCCAGGTATAAATAATAATAATAATTTAAAAAAAGCTCCTTTGAAGGAGTGGATCAGAATTACAGAAAATACACCACACCACTAGTGTTTGCATGTAGCTCACAGCTGTGGTTTGCTTTCGGTCTAAATGAATCTTAGACCTAAATGAGAGTTTGTAGTGATTTACAATTATAAGTCTGAACCTCTTTAATCTGTTCAGCTGTCTTGTTTTTAAGTTTTAATGCAAGTACTTTAAGGAACAAACAATGAGACAATGTTTATGCTTCTGACAGCATAAACTCTGACAGCACTGAGCAGCTCCTTTAGTGGCAGGCTGCAGCACCCACGATGTGGGACAGAGAGATTACTCAGGTCTTTCCTCCCCACTGCTGTCAGACTCTACAACAAAGACTTGCAGCTGATCAAACACACACATCCACACAAGTGCAATAAGACTGCTATATGTGCAATTCTTTTTTCTGACAAAGTTGTACTTTTCTATTTTCTTACTCAGTTGTATATAGCATTTGTATTCTATTGCATACCAGTGTTTTCTAATTTCTGCTACATAACTTTGCACTTTTGCTGTAACGAAACAAATTTCCCACCTGTGGGACTAATCAAGGTCATCTTATCTTATGCACTTACGACACAGATCTCTGGTTTCAAAGCAAGTTTTTAAAAAGAAAAGTCTGGGTAATAACTTCACAGATTTCAGATTTTTATTCATGTACTAAAACAACTAAATGTGTTGCACATACTGATAGACTAACAGGGCTGTCCCACTTCAGTTCTAGTGTGAACATGAGTTTGACACCTATGGATTAAAGATTTAGTGTCATTACTTTAACCAAGTGTACTCTCAGAGGTGAGTGGCTCTTACAAGAGCCGTTAGTCGGTTGAGGAAAGTGGCTGGATTTTATTCAGCTTTCTCATTCTTCTTGGCCTGGATGTTATCGGCCCAGCAGCTTGTTCAGCTCTTCGTCGTTGTGGACGGCCAGCTGCAGGTGGTGGGGGATGATCCTGACAAGGGCGTAGATTTGGTTTTGGCATTGGTGGGGATGGATGATTCAACCTCCAAACCCTGCCCTGCTTTTGTCTTTGTTTCTTGATTATTATTATTTATTTTATTTATTTTAAAGAGGAGAAATATACTTGCCTACATATGCTATTCTTCATGCTTTTAAACCATTTAAAATTACAATTCATAGTTTTATATGTGAATTATATAATGTTAAATTACTATTAAACAAATGACTGAGTAAGTATTTTAGACTTTAGTTTACTTCAGCCATATTCCATATAAATCAGGTATCATACCAAAAAAAAGGAAGCTTGAAATACAGTCATGATAATAAAAGAATATGACTTTAAGGACTTAACATTAGTTCAGTTATAGTACACCAACATCTCTTATATGCATTAGCACTAAGGGAACACTGAATGACCTGGTGGTTTTTGTCCATCTAAGATGACCACAAAGTAAAAGATCTCTCGGCAAAACGATGCAAGATTTTAGGCACTATTGCCCCGATCAAGTTAGTGAGCTGGGATGTTTTATTCTCAACATGAACTACTGTTACAGCAAAAGACATGGACTACTGGTGTCCCACACAACAACTCAATGTCCACTATGTGAAGGGGCCACACACATGCCTGCTCCTCTCGTTAACTGAGATAAACTGCTGGCATGTTTGTTTTACATCTATGAACAGAATCAACTTTTTGGAGATTTACTTTCCTGGATGACTGAGAATGCATGAAGATGTAAACAGGTCCGTGAAAGGCCCAGCCAATGACATTGGCCATAGTGAGGCAATTGTGAAAATCAAGTCAGTGAATTCCACGTTGATGCAAACTGTAATTTCTGGTATAGAAACAGCATTAAGATTGAAGTGAGCATAAAACTTGTTTTCTAAAAAGAATACTAATAAAAAGAATAAAGGAGCGAGCTCTTGGTGTGAGTGAGGTGGCTCTGAAAAGAGCCGTTGTTTGTAGGAGAGCGTGCAGCTTAAGCTCTCTCTCCGCGGATGCGGCGAGCCAGCTGGATGTCTTTGGGCATGATGGTGACCCTTTTGGCGTGGATGGCGCACAGGTTGGTGTCCTCGAAGAGTCCGACCAGATAAGCCTCGCTGGCCTCCTGCAGAGCCATAACAGCAGAGCTCTGGAAGCGCAGGTCGGTCTTGAAGTCCTGAGCGATCTCGCGGACCAGGCGCTGGAAGGGCAACTTGCGGATCAGCAGCTCGGTGGATTTCTGGTAACGGCGGATCTCGCGCAGAGCCACGGTACCAGGCCTATAACGGTGGGGCTTCTTGACGCCTCCGGTGGCCGGGGCGCTCTTACGAGCGGCCTTGGTGGCCAGCTGCTTCCTGGGGGCTTTGCCGCCAGTAGACTTGCGAGCAGTCTGCTTGGTTCTTGCCATTCTTCCTCACTTTTCTTTTCTTGTGATACGAGCAGAAAATGTAGCGAACGGAGGAGACTCGCTGCTCTTAAAGTGTGTGACTGGCTGTGACGCGGTGCCGCTCCGGCTCGTGATTGGTGACGGGCTCCACGTGGAGCACCGCCCCGCCTCGGTGTGTGCTGCTCATTGGAGAAAAGTGCATTGATGTTGCGCGCTGCCGCAAGCCTCTCTGCGATTGGTGCGTGACGAAGCTGCGCGCGCTCTGCGGAAATATAAGCGAGGCTTTGAGCTGATCGGACCACATTTTCTCTCAGTCTCGATACTACGAAGAAAAGAACCTGTCAAAATGAGTGGGCGCGGAAAGACCGGAGGCAAAGCCAGAGCTAAGGCCAAGACCCGCTCATCCCGTGCCGGGCTTCAGTTCCCCGTGGGTCGTGTCCACAGACTGCTGCGCAAAGGCAACTATGCCGAGCGTGTAGGAGCCGGCGCCCCCGTTTACCTGGCAGCTGTGCTCGAGTACCTGACCGCTGAGATCCTGGAGCTGGCTGGCAACGCAGCCCGCGACAACAAGAAGACTCGTATCATCCCACGTCACCTGCAGCTGGCTGTGCGCAACGACGAGGAGCTCAACAAGCTCCTGGGGGGAGTCACCATCGCTCAGGGTGGTGTGCTGCCCAACATCCAGGCTGTGCTGCTGCCCAAGAAGACCGAGAAGCCCGCCAAGGCTAAGTAAACGCAAAGCGCTCGGCTTCACCAACAACAAAGGCTCTTTTAAGAGCCACACACTTCTCTCTGAGCAAACATCCTTCTTGCTCTTACTCTGTCTGTAACAAGTTGTGTACTGGGAAATGTAGATTATGCATCTTGATTTACTTTGAAATGTACATTTATTCATGTCATCTTACAGAATCGGGGACTGAAATCCACCTTCAAATAAAAACTACTTTCATTAACTCCAAAGCTCTTTGCGTTTGGTCTATTCTTGTTTTTCCTTTCCTCTTCCTTGCTGCTGGTATTTTTAGACACAAGGGCAACATTTTAAATAAAACACTTCAACACAAAATCTGTTATTTTTTTCCCCTTTTTATAAAATTCTCTTTAATCTTGATGTTCATGCAAAGTGCAGGGCATATCCATAATATGGTCATTACAAGAACACACTCCAAATGATAAATAAGTCTGTAAATAAACACAGGTTTGCTACAGCACAGTAGTATTTGTTTTATTTAAGATGATCACGAAACAGAAGAAGAAATCTGTGGCTTGTATTTATGTGCTAAATGCTTCAAATGTCTTCCTGATGTCTCCACAGAGCTGATCAGGAGAGTCTGCAGCATCAAACTGATCTGGACTCAGTATTTAAGGTTTGTACATGTACACCAACCTCCTTTTTAAATTGTTTTTATGTTGCACAGTCCAATATTCATCATAAAATAATGGCAAAATTCCACAAATAATTAGACAGTGAATTAGTTTCACTTTATTTTTTTATATTGTGGATAAAAGGCGTAGCGTGGAGATAACACTACTTAAAATCGATGGATCAAAACAGGCTTTTTTTAAAATACATATGTATTTATATAACACATTTTTTTCAGAAAAGCAAATTAATGTTAATAATCTATGTTCTTATATGAATAAGAACCAAACTGATAGTCCGCAAAAACTATCCTGTAATGATAATGTTGTCTGGCAGGAGTTTTATTTTAAAAAGTTACTTGCATAAAATTTAAAACTTAATTTTTGTTAAATTGAAAACAAACACTAAGCAAATCTGTGAAAATTTGTTTTTACTATGAAGATCTGAATTTTCATTAATTTTGATTGTGTCATTTATTTTCCAGATGCTGGAAGACAACATTATTACTTTTGTGAAGAATGAACTAAAGAAGCTGCAGAATGATCTGAATCCAGATTATTCAGAGTGTCAGAGGGATGAAGAGGAGGTGTTGGACAGTGAGGAAGAGAAGCAGAGAAGGAGCAGCAGAGAGGCATTTCTGAAACTTGCAGTTAACTTCCTGAGAATAATGAAACAGGAGGAGCTGGCTGACTGTCTGCAGAGCAGTGAGAGGATTTCTCTTCATAAATTCAGTCTTTACAGGTATGAAATTGTCACATTTTCTATAATCATCACACTCATGTTTCTGGTGCTTTCCTGTAGAAAATCCTGATCCACTTTGTGAGAATACATTTAAATGTAACCTAAAGAAGAAGTTCCAGTGTGTCTCTGAGGGGATTGCTAAACCAGGACCCCGAACCACTCTAAATGAGATCTACACAGAGTTCTGCATCACAGAGGGAGGGACTGGAGAGGTCAACACTGAACATGAGGTCAGACAGATTGAAACGTTCTCCTGGAAACCAAACAGACCAGAAACAACAATCAGGTGTGAAGACATCTTTAAAGCTTCGACTGGAAGAGACAAACCAATCAGAACAGTTCTGACCAAAGGAGTGGCTGGCATCGGGAAAACATTCCTGACACAAAAGTTCACTTCGGACTGGGCTGAAGACAAGACCAACCAGGACATCCAGTTCATGTTTCCATTCCCATTCAGAGAGCTGAATTTACTGAGGGATAGAAAGTTCAATTTAGTGGGACTTATTCATCGCTTCTTCACTGAAATCAAAGAAGCAGGAATCTGTCACTTTAAAAAGTTCAAAGTTATCTTCATCTTTGATGGTCTGGATGAGTGTCGACTTCCTCTGAACTTCCACATCACTGAGATCCTCACTGATGTTACAGAGTCCACATCAGTGGATGTGCTGCTGACAAACCTCATCGGGGGAAAGTTGCTTCCTTCTGCTCACATCTGGATAACCACACGACCTGCAGCAGCCAACCAGATCCCTGCTGAGTATATAGACATGGTTACAGAGATCAGAGGGTTCACTGACCCAAAGAAAGAGGAGTACTTCAGGAAGAGACTTAGAGACAAGGAAGAGGCCAACACCATAATCTCTCACATCAAGACATCACGAAGCCTCCACATCATGTGTCACATCCCAATCTTCTGCTGGATCACTGCTACAGTTCTAGAGAGCAGGAAGATGATTGAAGCACTGGGGAAACTGGCTTTTTAGCAGCTGCAGAAAGGAAACCTGATCTTCTATGAAACAGACCTGACAGAGTGTGGGTCAGAGAAGCCTCAGTGTACTCAGGAGTGTTCACACAGATTTTTAAAGACGAGAGAGGAGTATACCAGGACAAGTTTTACTGTTTTGTCCATCTGACATTCGCCAACTCTGGTATCAACCTGCTGGAAGAGGAACAAATGGCATCAGTGAAGACTGGAGAGTCTTCTACCAGAGTGCTGTGGACAAGGCCTTGAAGAGTCCAAATGGACATCTGGACTTGTTATGTTGAAAGTTACCTTGAAACCAAACCAAGCACACCATTGTTTTTTCTTGTGACATTACCAATGAGTTTGATGTGTCACATGGCCCTCTCCCTATTGAAAAAAACAAAAGATGTATCCAAGATGGGCAACTTCTAAATGGCCACCATGGTACATCATCAAATTCAAAGCAGTTCCTTACAATGATTGTGTTGTGTGTGTTTGTAGGTTGTCAGGCTATCAGATCACAGGACCAGGCTTCACCTCTCTGGCCACAGCTCTGCACTGCAATCCCTCCTATTTGAAAGAGTTGGACTTGAGCTATAATCACCCAGGAGACTCAGGAATGAAGCTTTTGTTTGCTCTAAAGGAGGATCCACATGTGAAACTGGACAAAAGAGGAAATAAAGCTGTTTTTTTTCTCCAGCATATTGTAAGGTAACCACTGACCTGATTGCCAGTAATACAGTCTGTATGTCCAGTTAAGTGGGCAGCTGTGTGGGTGAACGACTCAGAACCAATCACAGTTAATACTGCAAATATACACAATTATTACAGTTTTCAAGGATAGTTAAGTTGTTTTAATAGGGAGAGAAGGAAACACTAAGCATTCAGGAGGGTAAGCCTGTAGGGGTCAGTAACCATAACACTGAACTATGTTCCTGTTCGGCTCTTCCATGAAGATGTTACATTTTTAAATTTTTGTTCTTTCTTCTTAGATTAAGCTTCTGGATTCATCGCCGGTGATACTGACACATAGCCAGTGCTCCTGTGTGGCAGGCGCTGTTATGTGCAATCACACAGTGGCATTGCTCTTCCAAACAGCACACTACTCACAACTCAGAGTGCCGGTCGTCCCCCCTGTGCATAGCTGCACGGAATCTGAACAGCAATGGCACAAGCCACGGACAGTGGTAATTTAAATGAGGTTAAAGTTTTTGAATTAGTCCATGTTTACATATGAACAGCAACACCATCCATAGTAAATGTGTCTTCTGTTAGGGTGTGAGACCAGGACCCATCAACTCCATGATCTTCACTAAGCCGGTACCAAATAGGATGGCCCAGACTGGAGTATGGTAATTAGATTTGTAAAATTTGGTTTCCTGTGTTACAAATGCATGTTGCTATTTGTTCATACATACATGTGTCAGAATAGGTATTAATTTACATACAACATTACACTTTCTGAAGACGGCTAACTCAGTCATGTACATATACATCCCAGTCTCTAACTTATGCACCACTGTTTTACACCTTTTAGTTTAGTTGTTGTTCAGTATAATAACCTTCTTCCTTACATTATTGTCATTGATGTTTTCTTTAGGAGTGGTTTCTAAAGAGGCATGGTGGGTCCGTTACCAGATCCCTGCTTGTTCAGAATAACGGAAGCATATGCAAAATTTAATATTGAGGACAGGCCACTTGTGAGACACAATGAACATGAGACCTGACAAGCCCCTTGTGGAAAGTGCCTTTGGGCTGGTGCAGGGGGGCAGTCTTCTGTCATATCAGCAGCCGGTTTTGACAACCCGGTACATCACACTACAACGTGATGCACCACCAACATCGCACTTGCCTCTGGAGGGGTACGACATCTTGCCATCAGATTGTGTGTTTGTGTGCTCAGAAGAAGAGCTTCTGCATCTGAAAAACTTGTCTGTAACTCTGGAAATGGCTCACAAAATAGAGGAAGCTACATGTGAGCAAAGCTCTTTGTCTGAGTGGCATCAGCTCCCTTTAGGTTTCGGGAGGTGTGTCATGTCAGAGGCCAGAGCTCGGCAGAGTCACTAGCAGAGCGTATATTGAAGGGAACAAGGCAGACAGCAGACATGAGGAGAGGAACTGAGATGGAGCCTGCAATAGCACCAGAGTATAGTAGGCTAATGAATGTTAACTACTCACCCTGTGGTCTGGTCATTCACCCCATTGCCCCCTGGCTTGCTGCATCTCCTGATGGTGTTGTTTTTGACCCCAATGAATACCCCCAGTTTGGCCTCATTGAATTCAAATGTCCCAATGTACAAAACTTTATTGACTGCAAATATGTTCAAATTTAACGTGGTACCCCTAAACTAAAAAAAGAGCCACACATATTACTGGCAAGTGCAGGGGCAACTGCTCATCAGTGGGATGCAGTGGTGTGACTTTGTTGTGTGGGACTACCTAGTGCAAAGAATATACATGGATACAGATGTGCACAATGCAATCAGAGAAAAGGCTGACTACTTATTTTTGTACATATATATGCCAAGATACCTGTGTTTGGAAAAATGAACAGAAAAACAGATCCTTCAGGCTGGCTGGAACAAAATAACTGATGTTTTATTTGCAATGTATTTCATGAATTTTTTGTTGTCAAATCAATAAACTGTTATTTAAGCAATGGCATCAATTTCTTTTTAAAAAAAAAAACACACATTAAAACATTGAATTTGGCCAGAACTTATTTACATGGTAAGTATTTTAAAGTCCATGCCTAGCATACTGATATACATTTAGACAATAAGACAACTGAATGAAGAAAATGACAAATGGTATTTTTGATGTTACAAAAGCTCAATGTCACTTATAATTTTAAAATGATTTAGTGATTTACTTTATAATTTTGATAAACAATTTTGTTGAATCTGAATAGTAATATAGTATTATAATTAAACAGTATTATTAACATTCAACATTTGCAATGAAGTAGAATTATCAATAACTGGAACTCAACTATCAGCACCCAAGTACCAGTTCTGTAATCAAGTATTGTCAGCTGAGAAGGAAGAAATGCAACTGTAGTGGCCTCAGCTGCAGGTCTTTTTCCATAAGTTACTTACTGGCACTGGTGTCTTGGGAAAAATCCATCTTGTCTCACTTAACCCATTTTTTTAAACTAATGCTGTGTTCTGGTAATTTGACAGCATACATGCTACCGCAAACAGTTGGTTGGTCGGTGGATAAGACCAGGTCTAAAAATATGTAAGTGTGTTTTTGATTTATTAGCTGTATTTATTAATGCATGTGAAGTGAATGTAAATACAAAGCCTGTTTAATTATAGCTTTAGTCACTTCCCTTTCAAATAAGTATTGTTGATAATTGTGTTTTTTAAGATTTATTTTTTTCTCATTAACACTCATCATCACACTGCCTGCATTATTGAATTTTTAAGCTACAGACCACAAAATATGAGGTCCACATTTACTGTTACACATTGGCTCTAATTAATAATTTGCTAATGAGTTGTTAGAGTTAAGTGTTTATGCACTGTGTCTTATTGGCCCTTTTAGATTTCTTTGATCTGACGCTGGATCCAAACACAGCACACAGGAACCTCAAACTGACAACAACAAGGAGGTGACACATGTGGAAGAAGACCAGCTGTATCCTGATCATGATTTTAGGTTTGATCAGCCTCAGCTACTGTGTACCAACAGTCTAAGTGGTCGCTGTTACTGGGAGGTCGAGTGGAGAGGTTCATGTTGCAGTAACTTATGGACAGTGTTGGGGAGTAACGGAATACATGTACCGCCGTTACGTATTTAAAATACAAAATATGAGTAACTGTATTCCGTTACAGTTACCGTTTAAAAAGGTGGTATTCAGAATACAGTTACTTTGTTGAAATAAACGGATTACACTGCGGTACTTTCCTGTTTGATATTGTTACGGGTCAGGACTGTTTGGGTTTTCTTTGACAGCTACGTTCTGTTGTTGCAGGCGGCAGCGTTACGGTTGCCATGGTTACAGGGCGACGCTCTCTCTCTCTGCGACTGCGTGTTTCCTGGGTGAGAGAGCGCCTTTTCGTTGTTGTTGTGCTAAGCTAACAGGCAGAATGCTACAAGCATAGCTCTAAAGAATGTAGCATCATGGGCAGTGTAGTCCGTGTTGCAGGGAGAATGGACTGCCATACACGTTATGGGTCTGTGAGCGCGAGGAGGGAGAAAAAGGGGAGTGGAAAGGTACGAGTTGTCATCGAGGAAAAACGGGAGCTGGAAGCATGTAAATGTAATAATAACCACTTCAGCCAAGAAGAGTGCCTGACGAGCCCAGTTGTAAGTAAGCTATTAAGACTCAACTGTACACCGTGTTCGTGTTTTCCTCCGAAAACAATAAGTTCCGTTGGAGCAGCCTTTCAACGCCTCTCTCCGTCTCTCGCAAGAAAAGTTGACCCACACAACAAAGTAAAGCTATTTTTCGGCTACAAGCCGACAGGGACCCCGCCGTATTAGTCAGAGGTCCCTTTACTACAGTTCGGAGTAGCGGACCTTCAGTAATAGTAATAAATCACACAGCAATAGTACATTCACGTTGTTGTAAAAAGCATGATAATATATTAAGTATTCCAAAGTATTCAGAATACGTTACTGTCATTGAGTAACGTAACGGAATACGTTACAGAATACATTTTGGGGCATGTATTCTGTATTCTGTAATGGAATACATTTTAAAAGTAACCTTCCCAACACTGGTAATAAATCACACAGCAATAGTACATTCACCTTCTATCACTGTGCCATTGAGAGCATCCTCACTGGATGCATCACCACCTGGTATGGCAACAGCACCGCCTACAACTGCAAAGCTCTCCAGCGAGTAGTGCGGTTCTCTGAACGGATAATTGGAGGTGAGCTTCCCTCCCTCCAAGACATCTACAGGAAGCGGTGCCTGAGGAAAACGGGGAGGATCATCAAGGACTCCAGTCACCCCAGCCATAAACTGTTCAGACTGCTTCCATCAGGAAGGAGGTTCTGCAGCATCTGGTCCCGAACCAGCAGACTGAGAGACAGCTTCTTCCATCAGGCCATCAGACTGCTGAACACGTCATAGACACCTCAGCTTCACTACTGGAACTTCAACATTATGCACTCCACACTGTACAGTAATGCCACTGTTTTGCACATATTCAACTCTGTATATTTTATATATTTTATTATTATTATTATTATTATTATTATTATTATTATTATTATTATTATTATTTATTTTTTTAACTATTTAATTTGTAAAAATGTGTATACACACACACACACACACACACACACACACACACACGTAGAAAAATATTTAGTATACACATCCAGAAATGCATATACTATTATATATTGTACATATATTTATTAGTTTCAGATGTAGCCATTCTTGTATTTTGCTTGTTTACATTATTGTATTTTGCACAACTCTGTTGCTTGTGAAGCTCGCACAAAAGAATTTCACTCACATGTGCTGTACCAGTGTACCTGCACATGTGATGTGACAATAAAAGTGATTTGATTTGATTTGATTTGTTGTAAAAAGCATGATAATATATTAAGTAATCCAAAGTATTCAGAATACGTTACTGTCACTGAGTAATGTAACGGAATACCTTACAGAATACATTTTGGGGCATGTATTCTGTATTCTGTAATGGAATACATTTTAAAAGTAACCTTCCCAACACTGCTTATGGAGGAATCAGACGGAAAGGAGACGGCGATGAAAGCAGGTTTGGGAGGACTAATCAATCCTGGAGTCTCTACCGCAGTGAGAAAAGGGGTTACTATGGAAATCATGATTACATAGGAAGAGCCATCCCTCTTCTCCCCTCAGCTCTCTCTCACAAAGTAGCAGTGTATGTGGACTGTTCTGCAGGAACTGTGTCCTTCTACAGCGTCTCCTCTGATAAACTGATCCACCTGCACACCTTCAACACCACCTTCACTGAACCTGTATATGCTGGGTTTAGAGTGAAGCCTGACTCTAGTATCCACCTCTGTGCTGACTCACAATAATGAACTTACTGTGCAGAGAAATATTCTCACATTGGTGTTTCATACTTTTTCTTAGTTAAATATTGTGAATGTTAAATATATCAGGTAAATTGTCTCATTTATAGTTTTTTCTTTCTCTTAGTTTAGGTAAAAGTTTTTTTTCTAGTATGTTTCTCACAGTCGGGGGGAGTATTTTTTAGCCAGGAAAAACATTTCACTGTATGTTGTACTAGCTATAACTACATGTGACAAATAAATAAAGAATTGAATTGAATTGAATTCATAAATTGTGCATATATTAGTTTGATTTGCAGTCCAGAGTTGTTGGATGAGACTGATTCTCCTTAAAACATGTCTTTTATCATCTTATTGTCTTCGGTGCCTTTTTTAAGAGCAGTTATCAGTTTCTATTAATATGTTACATTTTAAATACCCACAGGACCACAGTAAAAACAGTCTGATTTATAGATGACCTCCAGTCTGTGTTTCTTGACTGATCTAAGGAAAGCGTCTGGACTTCTTCAAGTTACTTAAAAAAGTCCAGACGTTTTTCTTTCCAAGCTCTTTAGACTACGATGACCTTCACAGACATTATGTGATTGGTTATGTTAAAAAACACAATCCTGAGTTGTAACAAAATGTGAAGGTGAAGAAGAAAAAAAAATAGATGTAAACAGTGTTTTTTTTTTTTCTTGTTGACTTGTTGCATATGAAACAAACACTGAGACAGTGTCAGTGCATAAGGTGTTGTAAAATGGCGGCGCGTGTAGACGCAGCGACCTCACGCTCTCCCGAAAATGCGATGTTTTGTTCGTCAAGTAAGTGTCTTTCTGCAAGTGTTTCTCGCCAGTCCACGTCGGAATATGTGTACAGTCGTCAGGCTCTCTTACACATTCGGAGAAGCAAGATTTGCCAAGTTTTGAACACTAACGACGTTGAGATGCTAAGGGAGATAGGACTTCTGCGACAGCCTGCTAGCTGGCCTAGCAACTC